GCCAGAACCGTGTATGTGTGCTTGGCTGGTGCAGAGGACAGCCAGAAGCCACTTGGGCTAGAGAGGAGTGAGAGAGGCGGGGAGCGGAAAAGATGAATTTAGCTAGGGAACTGGAAGGCTGTATCATAAAGACAACTGGAAGGAGTTTAGCCTTTTCCCTGGGTAGCCTCTGGGCTTCTGAGCAGCAAAAGAACATGATTTGATTTTTGTTTTCCCCAAAGCACTCTGACTGCTGGGTGAAATGAGGCTGCAGGGGACTCAGCTGGGAGGGAGACAGTGAAGAAGCTATCACATGCTTCTGTGAAACACTGCCATAAATCATTCCAAGTTCCAGGTTTGGAGGAATGATAGCACAGGACATTAAATGAATGAACAAATGAGACAGTAGAAGCTGTGATTGTCATCTTTGAGAAATCATAAAAATGAGAGCAATATACCCAGCTGGTGTGGCTGGGTGGTTGAGCATCAATCTCTGACCAAGAAGTTGAGGTTCGATTTCCGGTTGGGGCTAATGACGAGGTTGAGAGCTTGATCCTGAGTGTGGGGGAGGGGGTCATGCAGGAGGCAGCTAATCGATCCTCTCTCACTGATATTTCTATCTCCCTCTCCCTCCTCTCTGAAATCAATAAAATTATTTAGTCATTGTCAATAAAGTCATTGTCAAAGTGTTGTGCTGGGCCAGTGGCAACAGCAGCATCTGTGTGCTTGTAGAAATGCAGAATTTGGGACCTCTCCCATATCTGCAGAATCAGCAACTCTGGGGTGAGACCTGACAAGCAGTGTTTCAACACAAAGTCCTCCAGGTGATTCTGATGTTCGGTTTTAGGGACCACAGCTTAAAAACGCGATGGTGAGACAGATGACCTCCTGGGTACAACATTTTTAGAGTGAAGGCAGAATGAACTTTATACAATGCAAAGAAAGGAATCCCAGAGTTTCACTTATCATGACCACCACGAAGCCTTCGGATGGTCACACTGATTCAGGAGAATGTCTGGAGCCCCCAGAGCAGTGGACGGACGGTTTGCTTCCTAGACAAACTTCTAGTATTTCACTGCATAACGTGTGGGTGGTTTAGCCATTTGAAGTTATCTCCTTGATAAGGGCCTCAACCCAGATGAGCAGCTGATGGGGTAAGACTATTTCAGACCTTGAAGCACCAACTGGCATTCCCACCCAGATGGAAGGCTGCCCCTGCCCCAGGGGAGCTGCTGCGGGGACCTGCTGAGGAAGTCTGGGCGTCCCTGGGCCACAGCTGTGGATCTGCCGCAGCCTCGCACAGAGCCGGGTCCCCGGGGTTTCACAGCCGAGTGCGTGACAGAAATGGTTTTGAACTGGAAAATTCTGAAGCAGGTACATCATGCTGTCAGCATAAAAAAAGATAAAATGGAACGAAAGGAAAAGAAAATAGCATAAATGGCCCCAAATAATTAAAGGATAAACTAGAAAGACAAAATGATGGTTAAAAACAATGGAGCTGGAATAAGACAAACATTTAAAATGCTTTAGGGGCTAGACCATTTGAAAGGATAAATAAACTGTCAGGATAAAGTAAAGTAACACACACTATAAACAGTTAAATTCATATCTTAAATATCCAGTTGTTGATATTAGTATTATAGTTAGCAACATCTATAGAAAAAATGAAAATGGGTGAAGAAAAATAATTAAAACAATTTTGCCCAAGGTTCTCTAGTGACACCCACTTTTTTCAGAGCAGCCTCTGTCCTGCTCTTTGAGCTATCACTTCCTCGCTTGTGGTGTGAACTTCCTCTGAATTTCCAAACGCTGAATTCTATGAAGGTAACTTCAGAGACACACTCTCCATTTGGGGGGAATTCTCTTGTTCCAGCACTTGTATTAGGTAATCTAAAAGTAAAGTCCTGAACCATTTTATTCCACCACTTTTTAAATGAGATTGACTGAGTTTGATTTTAGCCATCAGGAGATTTATTAGATTAAACCTTGTTGTTGTTTTTTTGTAAAATTAAATTTAAGACATCTGTTAAGCAATGTTATGTAATGTCCCTAATGCTATGGCCTAAGCAAAATTTCTTTCTTCAGTTTAGTTCTCAGAGGAAGTTTTTTCTTTTCATATTCAGCCTTTAGGAATTTTTTGTTTTAATTATGATGCTTTTTTAAAAAATATGTTTTTATTGATTTTTAGAGAGAGAGATAGAAATATCAATGAGAGAATACCGTATGATCATTGAATGGCTGCCTCCTGCACGCCCCCTACTGGGCATTGAGCTCCCAACCCAGGCATGTGCCCTGGCCAGGAATGGAATCTGTTAATTTTTGGTTCCTGGGTCGCTGCTCAACCACTGAGCCACACAGTCAAGGCAGAAATTGTTTTTGTTTTGTTTTTCTAAAATAGAAAGGAAAATATAATAAAAATAAAAGCCTGTGATCTGGCTCACTTCCACTTGTTCTTACTTACTGAGAACATTAGAGCTGAATCCAAGCCTTGATTGTATAAAGCGCCATCTCCTATTTCCAGGAATCTCTACTCTTCTCCTTCAGAGCAGTCTTCTCAAATTGTAACCCATGTGCCACCTGCACCAGATTCATGAAGGAAGTTTGTTTAAAATGCAAATTCTTGGGTCTTGCCCCACCCTAACTTTTTCAGAGTCTCCAGAGACTGAACCCAGAAATTTGATTCTTTAACAAATAGCCCAAGGGAAGCTCAGAACTGCTTTTAAGAATCCCAATTGTCTGCTAACTCAAGACATGCAATTTTATATTATGGTTAATCTGTGAGCTATGCTCAGCTTTTAAAGAGCTACACATCTTACTGAGACATATGCAACTTGAAATATGAGGCCTAAAGTGGATCATGATGCCACACACAGAACTCAGAGCTATTTTCCATGGATTCTTGGAATTGGGAAGAAAAAAATCTTACATTTGGAGCCCAGGCCATAAGCTATGTTTTTCTGATCTGCAAATTATTGATTTTCAATGAGCTCACTGATGCTCAGTTTTAGGAACCACTGCTTAAACCCGTGAATGGTGAAGCTAGATGACCTGAAAGACTCATTTCACTGTTAAAACCCTGGGCTTCCAAGTGTTTTCAGTTGTTGGAATAAGAGCGAGAACACAGGCAGATGAGAACCTTCGGGGATGCTTTCTCCAACTTCACTCTCCTGCTCCTCCATTTCTTCTTAGTCCCTCTGATGTTCAGCCTTCCTCACCTCATCCCCCTCCCTGTCCCCATATTTTGATTATTTAACATTATGCTCATTACATATGTCAGACTGGAGACCAAGCTATTTAAAACCCAGTTGCTTATGTGTTGTGAGAAGGAAAGTAACATTAAATAACCTGTGGCTGTCAAGAAGAGGGAACTAACATTTATTGAAAGGTTATACATTTATTTAATAATTTAATGCTTTATACTGTAATGCATGGGTCTGTTTGATGGGTAGTATTAGAGTTATTATCATCTTATAGAAAATGATAACTAGCCGAAACTGGTTTGGTTCAATGGATAGAGCGTCAGCTTGGGGACTGAAAGGTCCCAGGTTCGATTCTGGTCAAGGGCATGTACCTTGGTTACGGGCACATCCCCAGTAGGGGGTGTGCAAGAGGCAGCTGATCAATAACTCTCTCTCATCGATGTTTCTGACTCTCTATCTCTCTCCCTCCCTCTCTGTACAAATAAAATATATTTTAAAAAAATGATAACTATAATACTATTGTTACTGTTATTATCACCTCTGATACTATTAAAACCTCCAGCTTTTATGGAAAACCTACTTTAAACCAGATACATTGCAAGTGTCTTTACATATGCACGCATAATCTCATTTAATTCTAACACCAGCCCTATTTTGCTGGGTATTATAATCCCCAAAATAGACTGGAAACTAAAAAGTAGATTGGCTAGGTAACATGTTTGATGTCACACAGCTAGTGAATGGCAGAGCCAGGTCTGTGTTACTACAAAGTGAAAGCTGAGGGAGAAGAGGCAGGGCCAGATCATAAAGGCATTTGCTACACTGACTACAAATCACTGGTGCCCAGATTTTTAATAGTGGTAGGATACATGTTTTAGAAAAATTGCTCTGATGACAGATTCAAGAAATGACTGGTGGCTTAGGAGTGAGTTCTCATCAGGAGTCAAAGATTTTTTAAAAGTATGCATAAGATAAAAAAGTGAGATTTAATGTACTAGTCTTTTTTGTCATAGTAAAATATAAAGGAAAGCTTATTGGTGAGAATCCCTGACCAGTTAGGGTTATGGGCATTGTATAAGTGAATTAAGTAAATATTATTTTACACATCAATTGTTGATTTTAAAATTATTTATATTCTCCGTTGAAATTGTCACCTGTTTAGCTGGGCTAAGCCATTGCTAATGGTTGCAGCTGATAGGAATATAACATCAGATGGTTATACTGAAATGGATTTTATGCCTCGGTTTAGTGTGCTGGTTTTTTCACCTTTGCTTGACTAAAGCTTACTCTTAGAAGCCATTGGATACACTTTATTGGTCTTATCTTACTCATATTATCATATAGGGCTTTAGGTAGAGAGGAAGAGGAGCTGAAAAGGAACTAAAACACTGTAACCACATACTCCACTGGTCTGCTTCTTTGGTCTTTCTGGCTTTTGAAGAAAAGAAACAAAGGGGAAGTAAAGAGAGGAGGGGGGTGTGAGACACACACACTAGGAGGTGATGAACAGGAAGATACTCTGGACTCCAGAGTGCCTTCAGAAAGAGTGCCTGAATCAGAGCTGGGGGAGGAAGGAGAGCCCACCTGACCCAGGACCCTGGCGCTGGCTTCTGGCCCCATCCTTCCTTGAGCACCCCCTGGGGCACTGCTGACAAGGGTCAAACAACTTGCTTGGCATCAGGCCTACGTTCTCAATCGAGGGCTATGAGTAAACAAAGTATGAAAACACAGAGCCAGAGCCAGAGCCAGGGCACCCAATTCAGTCCAAACGCCCAGGACACTGGACTAACTTCACTTGTGCTCCTTTTCTACACTACACAGACCCTGGAACAAGAACACTGACGTCCAGCCTCATCAGAGTTCCTTGGAGACGAGATATCTGTCAAGGAGTACTGTCTTACTGGGGCAAAGACACAGAACCTCTTCTAGGATCCTATACGACAAATGAGATAATTCCCAGAAGTGGCCTGGAGCTCTTTCGGAAAAAGGTACTGTGAAGGTGCTTAAACTGCTACTGGGTATACATTTGTGTTTGTGGAAAGTAAACTAAAATCTCTATTAGCTAACAAGGACAGTTAGAGCAGAACAAAAAGGCAAGCGTAGATAGGGACATGGCAGAGATGATCTCAGGGAATGCAATGATGCCAAGGGCTCCTGATGAGAGAAAAAGATGAACCCAAGTTTTTATTTTATTTTTAAGAAAGACATCAGCCCAGATATTTAGTAAATAACCCAGGATTGTACTTACTTGCATTTTATTATATTTATTTGGCAACTGGATCCATAGCTCACCATTTTGCGTGGAGTGAAAGACATCCAAATGTGTGGTTAGTATTTGGTTGTAAGCAGGCTTCTGAACTGTCCAAGTTTTTGAACCAACAAGGAGTATTTATTTGTTTGGTGTATTGCCTGCTGCTCACTAGTAAAGCTGTCTAAAACTGTCTTAGTCAAGAAGAATGTTTATTGAATTTAACAAGCAGTGCAGAGGGATCAAGAGCTGTGATCCATCCAGAGCTCATGGGGTAGAGCGGTCTCTGTGATCTGCCGCCCTCAGTGTGTCAGCTTTGCCCTCAGAATGTCATCCCTTCTGATTCTAAGTTGGAGTAATGCCACGTATCATATCCTAGTGCAATGAGGTCCAGAGGGCAGAGAATTCTGTCTCCGTGGTCTCCTTCTTAGTTGTGAAGAAGCCTTTCACAGACACCCACATGGTGGACTGCTCACCTTTTGTTGGCCAGATTTGGACCACATGCCTATTCCTTAACCAATGATTCTCACAGAGCTCTGTCTGAAGTGGAATGAATATTGGGGAGTTGAACAGACAATTTCATTTTGCAAACATACAAGAGAAAAAATCAGGAGCTAATAAAACCAGTAGTTCTGGCTTGTTTATAATTATGTTGGCTTAATTGGTGTTATTAATAAGCAGTTGTCTCTCTGAGCTTATAGCTGTCTGGTAAAAACAAAGTCACAGGAAAGGAAGTTCATCTCCTGGAAGCTAATTATTTCCAAGGTAAAAAATTGTTCTGAAGATTGAGATGAGCTCATGCTTTCATATAGCTATTTCTTTCCAGGGGCATGACACTGAGTCCAAGTAGAGAAAAGCAGATGTAGATTCTCTTATTAAGCACTGCAGGCAATCGCTCCAGCACTGCCAGTGCTGACCCTGCTGGCACCTGATGCCGACCCAGAGCAAGCACTTGGGGCCAGGCAGTGAGAGGGTGCAAGCAGCGGCTGCTGCCCCAATTGCCCCTCAGGAGCAGGGGGAGGTGGAGAAGCCCTCAGGGGCGATTGGAGGCAGCAGCTGCTGCTCACAACTGCTGATGGCAACCAGTGATTGGGGCAGCACCAGGTGCCAACAGCGGTGTGAGCTGCAGCTCTGGCTCGGCAGCAGGTGAGTGTGGGGCTGGAGCCAGCAGTAGGTGCGCGTGCGGGGCGGGATCACAGTCTGTGGGAGGAAAGGATTTTCAGTAACCACCAGAGGCTTGCCCTAATGACAGTGACTGGTGCCCCACCTTGGTCTGGCACCCCTGCTCACCTGCTCCACTATCCCATTGCAACCAATGCCTGCCATGTTCCTCGGATGCCCCCTGGTGGTCAGGGCACATCATAGTGACCCGGTTGTTCTGTTGTTCTGCCGTTCAGTCTATTTACTTATTAGAGTTTTAAATATATAGATTAGCAAGTCAATAAAAAATATTTATTTCTATACAGTCATATGTTTAACATGAAGGAACAATGGTAGTGAAATTCTACATTTAATTTGTATTTGGCTATGGAATAGTACTTTCTTTGCTATACTTACTTTCTCAATAGGTTTATTCAGACTAGGAGGAATGCTGAATTCTTTGACACCACAATGACAACAAGAGGTACATGACATAGGAGAAGGTGGCCTATGCTTTTAATTTACCTCTAGATAACTCCAAAGTGCTGAACATACATATGACCATGAATATATTAGAAGTGGATTTTATTTTTGTTATTCATTCATTCGTGTTTGTTTCATCTTCTATAATAAAACAAAGATGAGGATTATATTGCTATATTTCTTAGGTTGCACCACCCCATTCATAACATGGGCCTCTATACATAGCAACCACCCAATAAAGTAGCTAACTCATCCTAATTCAATTTCAGAAAAGATAAACTAAACATATCATTTTGTAGGCTATTTCCTGAATCAACTGGGTTTAAATCCTGGCTCCTTGACTTATTACTCTTGTAACATTGATAAATTATCTAACCCAGCGTTTTTCAACTGCTGTTCCGCGGCACAGAGATGTTGCCTGGTGTGCCGTAGGTGCAGACAAGACAAGAATTTTATAATTTTTCACTATTTTGTTTACTTAATATTTCATAATAAAGTAATTATAAAATACTTTCTTTGTGTTTATTTGATTCCTATTCAAGAGAATTACTTTATATATAGACAATATAGGCACAGAGTTAAATTTTTTAACATTTTCTAATGGTGGTGTGCCTCGTGATTTTTTTCATGAAACAAGTGTGCCTTTGCCCAAAAAAGGTTGAAAAACACTGATCTAACCTACCTACATCTCAATTTTTTGATGTGTAAGATGAGAATAATAATAAAATACCAACCTCTTAAGTTTATAAGAGTGATTAAATAAGTTAATATTCATAAATTACATAATAGAATGTCTAAGTCATAGTAATCATTCAATAGTCTTATCTACTATTATTATTTAATCTTCAAAGCCGCCTAGTTAGCTAGGTAATAACCAGGCATTATTTCAAAGCTTTGGAAATATTGAAAATAGTATTTAATTCTGCTTTGGAAGTGTGTTTAATGGTTGTCCTAATGTGCTGAGTGTTCTCTGTATGCCTGCAGTAATATATGATGCTTTTGGTCACATTCTACCTGAGAACATATGCTAAATACTAATACCTGACAATCATGAACCCAAAATGAAAATTCCTTTTGAAAAAATTAATAACCTTTTTAATTGGTTCATTCTGTCTTTTAGATTGTGTTTTTCCTATAATAGTCACTTTTGTAGATACAAAGAAAACACAGCATCCTTGCCCCAGTAAATGACCCAGACTTTTCCTGACAACTCACCTTCTATGCACCAAGAACACCCCTAATCTTTCAAGTTGTAAGACACAGAGCAACTTTCCATCCTTGAAGATGGCAAATTTACAGCCTCTGACATAAATTTGTTTCCATGGTAATAGACCAGAACTAATTGATTTTGTCTGTAACATAATCATCAAAACTGAGAGAGAGAGAGAGAGAGAGAGAGAGAGAGAGAGAGAGAGATTGACTGTTGATACTATCAGGTAATAGGCCAATACAATTTGCCAAACTGACATTATGGAAAATTCAACAAGATGAGAACTCGTGGTCTATATAACCAATAATAATAAAATAAAATAAAAACAAACTTCCATTTTGCCCTAGTGATGCCACAGCATATCCCAAATATTTACTGTGCCATTTTTTTCAGATTCTGATTCATTAACAAATATGGCTTCATATAGTTTCAGAAGCGTATGTTAGCATCATAGCATACAGATATGTGGGCCTAGAAAACAGAATTGAACTATGATAACTATTTTTCTGTAGTTATTTATATACAGCTTAGGTCTTTACAATCAAATCACACAATTGTAAGATTCAAAATAAAAATGCCAAGTATAATAGGAAGTCAGTCAAGAATAGAATGTGTGGAAAATGCTTTGTCTCAGAGAAATAATTTTTATTTGTCAGTAGACATTTGAGTGAAGATTACTTAGCTTCTCTGTGCCTGAACCTCATTTACTTTAAAGTCAAGGAGTTGGACTAACTGTCAAATCCAATGTATGCCTCTTAATTAGCATCTTGGAAATTCCTCCTTTGGCATCCATATAAATGCTCTGACTTCTTTGTCTAATACCCTCTGTGTTCCCTCTCCTTAAAAATTGGTAGTCACAGGAGTCCTATCTCTTCATCTTTCCAATTTTTATCCTATACGATGTAATGCATATTCTTAGCTTCAGTTTCAACCATTGATTTCTTAATATTTCCCAGCCCAGATGGCTTTCCTAAGTCTCAGACCCCTATTCTAATTAGACACCCAGTTGTCTCACAGGCATCTCAAATTAGATAAATCCAAAACAGAATTTATTATCATGCCCTACAAACCTCCACTTCTCTGTTGGGTTAATGACAATCTGGGAATGAGCTTGTAGTTCTTCCTTCTCTCTCCCTCAAATCAAGTCATCACGAAATCTCAATGGTTTTCTCTCTCCTTTTGCCTTGAAGACAGTTTTGGCCATGATTTGTTTTCTCTCTGACTTATTGACCTACTGTTTTCTAGACGCTGTGCTTACCCTCTAGGTGCATTTTGTCACTTACTAGTATATGCATTAGCTCTAAAGTATGCACTATTAATATCTCCAAATAATGCAGATAGTGTGCAGTTAGGTCACCTAAAAAGTATAAAGATAAAAAACAATTGTCCAAGATCACACCGCTAAAACATAGCAGAACCAGAGCTTGAATACTGTTCTTTTTTTTTTTTTTTAATATACTTTATTGATATTTTACAGAGAGGAGGAAGGGAAAGAGATAGAGAGCTAGAAATGTGGATGAGAGAGAAACATCGACCAGCTGCCTCTTGCACACTCCCTACCGGGGATGTGCCCGCAACCAATGTACATGCCCTTGATCAGAATCGAACCTGGGACCTTTCAGTCCGCAGACCGACGCTCTACCACTGAGCCAACTCGGTTTCGGCCACATTATTTTCTTAATAATACCAAGATGGCATATGCCTTTTCCTGCTATTTTGGTATTTGTACTCAACTGCCAAAGTCCTGGGGGCTGCTAAAGGCTTAGCAAGAATCAAAGCAGCAGCAATGAACTGAAGCAGTCCACATGTCGGTTCACGTAAGAACATCAGTGATGAAGCAGTACCTATTACTAACTTTATTAACAATATCGAGTCTAAAGAACACATAGTTTTAATATTCTGTATGA